GAAGGAATAAGGAAGACCCAGGTGATATACTAGACGACCACATCTAGGAGAGAAAGAACTTCAAGGTTACATATACATAAAATTTAACATCTCATCTTAGTATACCTTATTTTACTTATGCCAAAAGCTCTTTTCCTCCAAAGAGCTCACAGTAACAACCAATCTCCATCTCACCCCTACGATTCTGTGATTCTGTGATCTGTCTGCTCAGCTGCTTTAGTACATGCAAAGTCTGCTTTCTTAATGGACGTAAACACTTTGCTGGCAGAAATTTCTTGTTTATCTGCACTTAGATTGCCAAAGATTTACAATAGCAATACCTGTCCTCCTAATGAGGAGGGCAGTTAGCATAGGTGTACAAACCACTGCATGGATTTTGTATCCAAAGAATCACAGAACCACAGAATATCCCAAGACAGGAGGGATCAACAAGGATCATTAAGGCCAACTGCTGGCTCCACACAGGAACACTCAAACTTCAAACCCTATGTCTGAGAACACTGTCCAAATGATTATTAAATTCTGGCAGCTCTGGGTAATGATCACTGCCCTGGGGAGCCTATTCTGTACCCAACCACCCCTCCATTGAAAAGCCTTTCCCTAATCTCCAGTCTGAGAGAAGGAATGTCTGAATGCAGCCTAACTTGACTTCTGATTGGAATGTACATTATGAACCATCTACATGAGCAATTTAGTGTGCACTGGGAGGGGGATTTTATGAATACAAAGCTGCATCGTGTCTGTACTTCAGTACTCTGGTAGGTACTTAACCGTACAAATGGAACGCTAAAAGCAGCTGGCATAAATGCGGAAGCTGTGCGCCACTTTGATAAGCAGGTATCTGCAGTGTCAACAGGAGGTCCTTCAGCCCTACCTTTGAACATTTGCCATAAATACCTTGGACCAGCAATGAGTAGGACATAAATTCCTAGAGCCATAACAGATTACAGCACAACTGTTGCCAAACCAATTAGTGTAGGTGTACACATATCCAAGGGGTCAACAGTGCTCTTCAACCTTCCAAATTGAAATTGGGAATTACAATCAAAGTAATTGGTAATAAAAAGTATTCCTGTTTTAGGATTGCACATCTAACCTGTCTGAGGCCTGAGGCCTGTTGAGAAATTCAACAACTCTTCAACCTTTCAAATGCTGTGGGCCAGGTGGCAGCTTTGCAGCTACTCCATGGACTGCATACAGTCTGTCTGTCATATAGCAACAACTTTCCAATCGGTGTATTTGCTGACTAATACAGCTAATTTGCCTAATTTCATCATATTGAAAAAAAAAAAAAAAAAAAGCTAAATAACTCTCTAATTCTTCATTACATTTCATTATGCATCAGTACAAATAGCAGCCTTTGTTCTATCTTTTACATAATAATACAATTTACATAAAAATACAATTTACAAAATACGTAATTTTGTCTATTATATAATAGTAACCAAGATAGGCATTTTATAAGTGCAAGTTCTCAAATAATTTTCATCACTTCAAAACCAAAAACTCAGTATTCCAACTAAACAGTCATTACTGTCTCTTCCAAAAGATTCTTGTCCTAGAATCCTGTTATCAAAAAGCTAATTTTTTTCTATAGTTCTAAGTTTTTAATTCAGCTATAAGACACTTTCAGCAATTTCAGTCAAAATGTTCTGATGAAAAGTCAGGCAGCTTTTCAGGCTTGATTCTTCTTTCAAATACATGGACATAACAAAACCAAAGACCGTAACCATGATATCAAACTCAACAGTCCAAAAGCCATCATAATTACTTACAAAGATTGTATGCACTTATCCCAAAACTTACTTAAGCAAAAGCAGACTTTTCTTTTGTAGCTTCCATTTCCCAGTAAAAGTGCACGTGCAGCTTGATGACTTTGTTGTGAAGTTATTTTAATGAATTAATACAGAGATCTACACATCATTACTCTAAATACATGTAAATATCTTCCAGTCTTTCCGTTTAAACACAAACCTGTCATAGATGAGAAAATCATCTTTGTTTCCATTTAAAGTAGTCCAGACATCAGCTTGGTGATCATCTTGTTGGTAGACAGCAATGTGGTCTGACACACTTTCCTGCAGTAGGTGAAATTTCTTTTGGGAATGAGGACTTTGATGGTTGACAACCACATATGAGATATTGACCAGTCCTTCATTCTCTAACTTCACTCGCAGGTCCTCCAATCTAGAAAGGAATGTGAAAATCAGCAGGCAATCATAGGAGGCTTTTCTCCTTTGCAATGTGAAAATAAATCATTTGCCACATTCATCAAAAGTTAATGTGCTCCATGTTGCCTTCCTTACAGGGAGTTTTTTCCCCTCTAAGCAACAGTCTACTAGTATTAAAACATTCTTGCTCTTTACCATAAGTATCAGCTCTGTCGCATCTGAAAATGCTGAAGTTCTTTTCCAACATAAAGGAATGTATGACTGCTTTGCCATCAAGTCAGACCCTACAAAAGTCTGCATGCCTCAGTTCCTATCCTGGTACCCAGAACACAGTACTAAGTAAAATAGCCATCTGTTAATCAGACTGAATTCAGTGTTATTTCCATGTCAGTTCTTTCACACTCTTCATGGTCTAACAAAGAGAACTTAACGTTTTTACTTAAATGCTGAGTTTGGGGTCACACAGTTTGTTAAAGAATGCAGAGTGAATACATCAGGTAGTTGAATAACAAAGAAAGTAAACCTACAGCACAAGGTCAACAGCTCTCCCTTTCATTTCGACTTGTCTACTTTCTGCAATAACCAGAAAAGGACATCACATAAAAGGGATGGCAGCTGGGTCAAAAGAACAGCTACAGAATATCCTCATGACCTAGTTGGCCTCAGCATAATTCCTACAGGATTGCTCTAGAAATAAAAATACTTTCATTTTTTCACTTTCAGGATGTAGTCTAGAACTTCAAAGTATACAGCCCTTTAAAAATGCATGGAATCAAATCCAACCACTTTGAAAGTCAGCCACAAAGCCAGAACTTTGCCACTGCTATTTATAAATATATATATATATAAAATATAAAATATATAAATATAATATAATATATAAGATATAAAATATAAAACCCAGCTCCTGAAAAACTTTCTAAGACTATTGTAACATGAAGTTTTGCAGCCTGGGGAGTGAAACAAACACGTTATTACAGCGATCCTACTCAAGTTGTGAAACCAGCAATGTGAAATTTCATGCCAAAGTGATTTCACAACCACTGAACCAAAGATAAGCACTGCAGGCAATTCATGTTTAGGCCAGCTCAAAATTATTTTCCTACTGCTGTTACTATCATACTACCCAACTGCTGGGAAATGGCCAGGTCAGCAGGACAAGGTCACTTAGGGCAGTGGTAATCTGAGGAAGCTATTCCTTGTTCAGTACACCTTGTTCAGTTGAGCGTGCATATTATCCTCAGTTGGCTTCATGAAGTGGTATTCGTGTTTTAGCAAAAGATGGAAAGGCACTGGTGCTCACCTGGAAGCCTGCAGCAGGCACAAGTATCAGCTAGCTTGGAGGAGAGCCACCACTGCCACCGACCCCCTGGAGTTCAGCATTGGGCTCTCCTCCCCGATGTGCCATTCTGGGGGCTCCTGGCACCGCTGGCTCTCTGCCCACCCTCCTGGGAGGAGGCAGAGAACCAGAGCCAGTCCCAGTCCTGCCCACATGGCTGGACTTATCTGAAAAGAAAGAAAATAAACAGAATGAGATCAATGCCTGAACAAAGTCCCGATGCTGAAATTCCCACGCAAAACACAGCAGGATACTGGCTCTGTTCAGTTAAAAAGAAAACATCAAGAATATATTTGATCCATTATGTTTGCTGTCTGACCATATTTATCTCGTTTAGTAGCAGAGTTCCTCTATAATATTTTTTTAATAGTTCAAAAAAGCTGGATTTTTAAAATGCTGCTAACCACATGCATTTCTTCTGCAGTGAAAACTGTGGTGCTGAATTAGCTTACACCTGTGTAAAAACATAGGTGCAAATCCAACCATTGACTACACAGAAACTGCAGCAGTGTGCAGTGTGTTCAAAGCAGCAAGCATTACAGAAAATAATATTAACAAAAAAGAAGCAAAAGAAAAGACAAAGTTTTTTACAAGTTTGTAGCACTCGGATGTCATTGAGAAAAATCCTAAGGCAAGCAGTAGAAACAAGTCTGCAAAAAACAGGAAATGAAAATTCAAGTTCCAGAATTTGCCGTATCAGGCTCCTGTCACCCACATCAGGTTCCTTTAGTGCTCATGGGAATCAAAGCATTCAAGAAATTCTGTAATTATCCTTTCACTCCAACAGCATAAAAACTTTGGCTTAATACATTCAGACAACTCATTATTGAGAAATAAAATGTTAACATTGTTCCCAACACACCCTAGGCTGTGGAAGTGTGCAGTTCCAGCGCTCACGTCTGACATTAAATACAGACGGTTACGGAAACAGCAAGTTCTGACACACGACGACACACAAAATCACAATCTATTAAGATAAATACATAAATGAAGAACACTGATTCTTCCCAGGCAAGAGACAAACGCTGCAAAGCCGGCAGAGCTGACAACTCCAGCTGTCCCCGTGCTGCTTTCCTGCAGTTCTACCGCAGTCACCCGGGGCACGGTACTCCGAAACCGCCCCGCACACAACTGGGAAGCGGCCGGCCGCTCCGGGGTCCGTAACCACCGCACGACGCCGGCAGGACCCCGTGCCACGGCCCGCAGCAGCCGCGCGCCGGCGGGAGCTCCGCTCCCCCCGCGCCTCCCAACCTCCCCGCTGCCCTCCAGCGGCCGCTCCCCTCACCCCGCAGCGCCCGGGCCGCTCCGCTCCCCCCTCTCCGTTGCCAGAAAGACGCGGCCGCAGCGCGGCGCCGATCTTTATAGGGCGCTTGTTTACGTCGCGGGGCAGCGCGGGGCAAAGTTCAGGGAGCTCGTTCTGCGCGACCTTGCAAGCAAAGCAAACTCCTCCGGCAGAAGTTTCCAAAGTTCCTCTCGGTAACTCACTGCAAGTAGAAACCATTTGTCACGCAGACTAGAGAGGTGTTTTCCGTGCAGCGGCTCTGAACGTGGGGCCGTACCCTTCTGGGCCACCCCGTTTGAGCCGAGCAGTGGTACCGGCGGGCGGGGGGGCCCGGGGCCGTGCTATGGGAACGCGGGTGGCCGCGGCTGTAAGGGGCACTTCTCGGTTTGTAAAACTGCTGAGCTGGCAGTGACTTGTCTCGTGCTTTGTCCTGCGTAGGGAATGGCTCGCGGAAACGCAGCGCGTGTGCACCGCGGAGCTCCTGGTGCGTGGCTGCTCCTGGCTACACCAGCTGCCCTGGCACCGGAGGGAACGGGCCCCTTCACCAACGTGTGTTGTGGGGTAAAGCCCTCAGAATACTGTGGGTGCGTGGAATGCGTGAGGCTTTGCCTATTGCCAGCAGCACGTAGCCCTGTTATGCTGTTAGTCTTTCTTTCCGTCTTCACGGAGGGAGCTGAGAACATTCACGTCATGCTGTTTTCTTCCTCCTTCCTCAGAGAAGGGTTTGCTCACGTGCTTTGTTTTGGCAATTGGCATTATTTCCTTCGGTGTACGCATTTATGTATGTTTATGTAGAAGTAAGTGTCTACAAATACAGTGTGCTCGTGCAGAGTTCATGGTGGTGAGACTTGCTTAGCTCTGTGCCCTAACCTCGTCTCCTGCCCAGATGAGCGCTGTGCTCCTGGCTGCGTCTTGAATGTGAGGAACAGAGCTGTCATCCAGAAATGCTGTGCTGAGGTCAACAGGAAGGGGGCCCAAGACCTGAGGTTTTACTCAGCAGTCTCTGAGGACGCAAAGCAGAAAGCAGAAACAGATGTCTGATAGGGACTGAATGTGGGATGGAAATGTGCAGTGGTCACTGATGAAAAGTATATTTGCTCCCAGGTAGAATACAGAGATACTCATACATGCTTTTCAGAGAGATGAGAAACAGCAATTCTGGAGCAACTGTCAGCAGTTCTGTTAGCAACTGCCACTGTGCTAGTAACTACCATTTATTATACTACTACTACACCTGCATGACATTTATTAAAACAATTATTAAGACAGAGGCATTAACTACATTTATACTTGCATCCTCTAAGCATCTTGCTTTATAACACCCACCCTACCAAAAATCATTGTTCTGACTTGAGATTCATTGAGGAAGACAGTTCCTCCATCAAGTGGTAAGGAATGTTACAGTGCTGGCTCTGAGTGTAGATGGATCTAATTCGGCTGTTTTTGAAATGTATGATTCCCTAAATACGTTTAACCTTCTGTCTGACATGTTGCCCTTACTGCAAGGAAAATTTATCATTTCCATATTTTTTTATAAATAGGATGAAGATGTTAATAGTTGCTAAATTTACAGCATAAAAACCAACCATTCTGTTTCTTTTACCATCCCTCTTGAATCAGCAGGCTCCTGGAGCCCTTTGTCCATAGCTTCTAAAGAAATAAGTCCAAAATTTTAATTTCACTTCCCACTGCAAGTGTTATCTTAGTTGTTGAGTAAGACCCAGTCTCCCTGCAGGAAGCTGTTATTAATTCTAATTTGATGAAGCCTTCATTTTCAACAGTAATTATAATTATCACCCAGTGTCTACTCACTCTCTTTCTTAGCAGGGGGGAATAATGGTACTGATGGGAATAAGAGCTCTCTTCCCTTCTCATTGAGCATAACTATCCTTCTTTTTTCTTTGTTTATATCAAACTTTTCAAAGCATCACAGCATAGAAATGCCAGTGGACAGCTACCATCGTAATTACCTGATGTACATTATTTCTGCAATCTAGACTGGTAATACACACACTTCCGAAAAAAATTCTAAATGGATTTGGAATTGTGAGGCTGTTGGTAATCATACTCTGGTAAAGTCTGCAGCAGTGACTTGCAACATGTGCAGATAGTGCAGCATGGAAGCAGAACATGGATCCAGCGTGAATTCTGTCACAAGATCTCAAGATGTCAGTGTCTGTTTTGCTGCTGGGACAGAAGGATGTCACAAGCAGGAAACTCAAAGTCCACTTGCAGATTGTAAGTCTCTGCTGATTTTTCTCTTGTGATTCTCAGTTTATAGCAATGTAACAATGTCAGCTCAGTGGAATTACTCATCCTTTATAGAGGAATAATTTAAAACAAAAATAGGTCATTGAGGTTGACTTAATGCTTATATAAACCAAATTTGATTTGTTTATGAGACTTGGTTAAATTCTGTAAGTAAAGGTCAATGTAAGTGAAAACAAAGAATATATATTACAGTGAAGTAGATTCAGGAAAATAGTTGGAATAACAAGTTCGTTAGTTAAAGTAACTCCAGAAAGAGTTATAGCAGTGCATTAAGTGTCTTGCACCAGAGCACTGTTAGATAACAAAATGCATACGTGTCAGAATTCAAAGGAAGCTACAAAAGCTGACATCCTCTGATATAGATCTGGAGTTTGCTTCAGTGAACAAGGGAACAGCTGATAAAGGCAATTGTCTGTTTAAAAACAAAATTAGACTGAAAAAAAGCTGATTTTTAGGTAGATGTTTTGCTTTTCTGCTTGGAAATTCTATTACCACAACAGTATCCTTCTCCTTTTTAACCACTTTGTATCACACTGCAATTAACAGGGAAAGTATTTTCCATCAGACATGTTCTCACTTGTATCTATTGCAGAGATTACAAGTGTAAACTGACACTAGTTGCTGAATATCTGTGTATTTCTGAGTTGCTTATTGGCTCTGTTTCCTTTCTGCATTTGAAATAGTTCTATCAGCCTACAAGTCCCAGATGTCATCTCAGTGGTTATCATATCACAGAGTTACAGAATCATTAAGGTTGGAAAAGACCTCTAAGATCATCCAGTCCAATCATCCACCTACCACCAGTATTTCCCCACTAAGCTGTGGCTCTTAATACAACATCTAAATGTTTCTTGAGCACCTTCAGGGATGTTGACTCCACCACTGCGCAGCCCATTGCAGCTCCTGACCACTCTTTCAAATTTTTCCTAATGGTCAATCTGAATCTCCCCTGACACTTCCCTATTGCTAGCTTCATGGGAGAAGAGGCCAACTCCCACCTCATCACAACCTCCCTTCAGGCAGTTGTGAACAATAAGGTCTTCCCTGTGCCTCCTTTTCTCCAGACTAGTCCTTCAGCCACTCCTCCTAAGGCTTGTGCTCCACACCCCTCACAGCTTTGTTGCTGCTCTTCTCTGGACATGACCAGGAATGTCTTTCTTGTAGTGAGTGGCCCAAAACTGAACACAGTACTCAAGATGCAGCCTCACCAGCACTACAGAGGGATGATCATCTCCACACTCCTTCTGTCTTCACTATTTCTAACACAAGTCAGGATGCCATTGGCCTTCTTGGCCACCTGGGCTAACTGTTGGCTTGTGTTTAGCTGAGCGTTAACCAGCACTCCCAGGTCCTTTTCCTCCACGCAGTCTTCCAGACACGCTGCACCAAGCCTATAGCATTGCCTGGGGTTGTTGTGGCTGAAGTGCAGGACACAGCACTTGTTCTCATTGCTCTTCATCCCATTGGCCTTAGCCCAGCTATCCAGCCTGTCCAGATCCCTCTGTAGGGCCTTCCTACCCCCAGGCATATCAACATTTCCTCCCAACTTTCTGTAATTTGCAAACTTCCTGAAGATGCACTCAGTGCCCTCATCCAGGTCATCAATAAAGACATTAAACAGAGCTGGCCTGTACTGATCTCTGAGGAACACCACTAGTGATTGGTCACTAGCTGGATTTAACTTATTCACCACTGCTTTCTGGGCCTGGCTATCCAGCCAGTTCTTTACTCAACGAGGAATATATATGTGCAAACCACAGACTTGTCACAAACTGTCCAAGCCAAGTTTCTCTAGTAGAATACTGTGGGGGTTGGACTCGATGATCTCTGGAGGTCCCTTCCAATCCCTACAATTCTGTGATTCTGTGATTCTGTGAAAAGCTTTGCTAAAATCTAGGTAGACTACATCAATACATTAGTAAAAATATTTTTTGTTCTCTTTAATCAAGCTGGGCTTTCGCCTTTCTATTTTTTTTCCTGCATATCCTACCAACTTCTTTGTGTTCTCCCTGAGTTTTCCATTCCTTCTTTCACAGGAGGCAGACTCTCCATGACTTTCTGTTGACAGAAGAAAGGACTGAACTCCTTGATGGCACCTAAGAGAAGCTTGAAAGAAGGTGATTAAGAAGATCACAGCTATAGGACACCTGTACTTCTGTGAGCTTTGTGTTTTTAGTAACAATGGACCATCCTGTGATCTACAAAACAAAACTGTAAGTTCCTTCTGTTTGATTCTACTTAGGGTCCTGTTGCTGTAGACAGTGAATGAGGAAGAAAACATAATTACACCATGCTCAAAGCTGAGTATCTGTACAAATCTCCTGTATGGATCTCTTATTCCACACAGTGACCACCAATCCCTCTTCCCACAGGGATGATGCACTTGCACCTGGGACACCACAAGCAGCTTTAGGCTTTCCAGCACTGATTCTGTGCTCAACTAAAGCAATTAACAGTACTGACCAATGAATATGAAGAAAGATAAACAAACTTCTTGATTTTGCTGTATTTAGATAGTTCTCTTCACCTGAACGGATCAGGTCTTAAAGGGGGGGTAGTTATAGTCATAGCTTTCAAAGTATAATTGATAATACTTCTATCTCCTGTTACAGACTTTATACTTCAGAAAATGTGGAGGAAAATGATTTATTTGCTAAACCCACAGTGTGTCATTGCAGATGATGGTAAAGGTCTCTCACTGGAATTACCTGTAAAAACAAGTTTTTGTTAATGATTTGTAACATGTCATCCAAGCATAGTTCAGTGCACTGAACTCTAAGCAGAGAATAGAAATTATGACAGCACAATGCATGAGATTCAGTGATAACACACTGTGAACCTTATAGGTAATTTGAAGTTGTTTTTGCCTATCAGTTTTTGCCTATGTAAAATATATGAAAACTGAACTGAAAAGTGGGTCCAGTCAATGAATGAGAGGGATCTTGAATGCAAAAGTGCTTTTTCAAGAATTGTTGAGTTGTGATGAAAAACCGATGGCATATTTTTAGTCCTTTTTTTTTTTTTTATGCACCTATGATGTCTTATTTTCCTGAAATACAGTAGTGACTGCCAACAGCATGGTCTGCAACAGATGTTAAGAGAGCTTAGGGATAGATTCAGATAGCTTAATACAATATAATCATTTTAAACATAAACAGAGTTAGCAAGCTAAAATGGTTATGGCTTCAAGTATATGCCTTTGCAGATTGATTGCTGGTCATAATACTTTTCTGCTAGCACAGACTGGAATGCTGAACTGTAAAAAATTCTTGTGTGTCCTTCTGAGAGCAAGAGTATGCAAGTGTGTCATCAGCACAAGTAATGAACGTGCAATTGCCTAAATCAACCCTTCATGTGAACTACTGAAACACTTTGCAGATAAAATGCAAAAACGGAGATATCCAAGTGTCGGTCTTCACTTAACAGAGTACGTTTTACTTCTCTGGCACACAGGATCTTAGACTGATAGCCATCGACTTCCACCATGAGCAAAAACTAGTTTCACAAAAAAAAAAAAAAGAAGAAGGGGTGGGAGGCAGGGAGAGGGTTGCTCCCAGTACCATAATGAGCTCAAAATGTAAGTAGCTCCTCTGGATTCTGTAAATAAATGAACACTACAAAATGACCTCTGAGGGATGGTGAGAATTGAACTGTCAAAGAAATATATTCCATATGAATGAAAAGTTTTGCTAAGTGCATACACTTGAAACAATCAGATTCTGAACAAACTAACCTCTCTTTGTTTTTTGGAAGTTGATGGAAGTCTAGAAGAGTCAGGTCTTCACCTGGCTTTGATCAACTGACGTTTGATATGACAGAAGGACTTGTATCACTCATCTTAGAGTGACACCCTTTCAGGTGTTGTCAGTATTATTCTTTGAAGAGAAAGCAATAGTGACACTCAGCCCCCATCCATATGTTGTTTCTCGTAACAAAGCTATGCTGACTTTAAGTTTTGCTTTCAGCAAGCATTAGTTCATACAAACTTCAGCAGCTACACGCTGTTTACTGATATGTAGCTACTTGTATCTGTAACCCAGTTAGAATGTCCTGAATACACTGTGTAGTAAAAGGTGACCCTGCCCACAGGGAGAAGTTGGAGCCAGATGGTCTTTAAGATCTCTTCCAACCCAAACTGTTCTGTGATTCTGTGATAACAAGAAATTCTTGCAATTCTTAAGAAAGTGATGGTCTTTGTATGTTTTGTTTTCCACCCTTTCGTATAAATTTAGGAAAATATATGATGTACTCCAGTATTAAAGATATTCCAGTCTATTAAACAAATAAGCATTTAACCGTCCTATAAGATATGTAATGATCATGGAGTCATGGAACGGATTAGGTTGGAAGGGACCTTAAGGCCCATCCAGTTGCACACCCATGCCATGGGCAGGGCTGCCACTCACTAGATCAGGCTGCCCAGGGTTCCATACAAACCAACGCTGAGAACATCCAGGGTGGGGTGCCCACAAATAGTGTCCTGACGAGATCACATCTGTGCTGATAAATATAATTAATATATTTTGGATGAAATATGTATATAACAGAAGTCCCCAAACATTTGATGTTACAGTCCTGAAATTTATTTTCCATAGATGCAGTTCTTGAAGGTAATTGTGAAGGCAAAGTAATTTTTTTCTGTTTTTCTGAGTTTTACTTCTTTGGTCTATTGGCAATGGGCCAGCAAGGACTGGGAGATCACTGTGTCTTTAAAATGTTTTATCCCTAAGTTGATACTACCAATATTAGTATTTTTTCTATGTCTTAGGGGTCTCCAAGATTTTAGACTGTAGGGAAAAAGAAAGGAAAGAAAAGGAAGAAAAGGAAGAAAAGCAGGGAGGGAAGGAGGGAGGGAGAAAAAAAAGAATTGTAAAGATTTTCCAGCGTAAAGGTCACAGTGCACAGAGTGGAGGAAACAACATGGTGTTCAAAAGAAAGAAAAGCAAGAGTGGAAAAGAAGTTATGATGCCTGAGGACACATTTGGCAGTACCTGCACAAACTCTTACACTACTCCACATTACTCCATAGAGCGAAGATGTGAAAAAATCTTCCCTGCAGTAGTCACTAGCAACACTCTTGGTTGCTTTTATGAAATTGCCTGTTTTGAATATTCACATGAGCTTGGATGAAATTCCTGACTTGTCTAAGAATTTACACTAAACAGGTTTCATATCTTATTATCTACCTACAGGCAATAACGCCAATTCTCACTTTTGATCCTCCTCAATGTCCAGTTCCAAAATCACTGACTTAGCTTGTGGAACTTGAAGAGTAACTCAGTCCTTGCCCTGACAAGAAATAGTCACCTCAGCAAACCTCAAGATTTCCCCAGTGAGTAATTTGCATAGCTGTTCATTTCTCTTTCTGTATCTGTTAGGACTCTGTACCACTACAAGGAGACATGGTTCCCAGGCTGGCATTATACTTTGATAAGTCCTTATCTGAACAAGCTGACTTCAGATTTTTTTCCCTCTCCCTCTTCCTCTTCCTGCCCTCCCCTTCTTACTTTTCTTTTCTTTTTTGTCTGTCTGTCTCCTGGCATCAAGAATGGTTCAAGAATACTACTCATATACCCTTAATATTATGTTCTAATTATTACTTATTATATCAGACATTTATCAGACTCATTTGTTATCTTATAGGGTCTGGAGTTAGGAAGGTGACATTATCCCCAGCAGAGTCCTGAGCCAGTGACTCGTGATGGAACAGCTAAACAGCCCATACCCATCTTTGACCAACAGAGTTCTATCCAGACATCTAAATTGTAAACTACATTCCTCCGAACTTTTGCTTGTCAGCAAAAAAAAAGAAGAAAACAAATTTGTGCTGATCTTGCATGAGTCTTTGCCAGATTTCCTGTACAAACTCACAAAGAGGAAGCAAAATCTGAAAGTGAGATGAGAAAAAGCTTGGAGCCTTCTAAAACTCATGGCCAAAAAGCTGAAGAATGTTCTCTCCACTACTGCTACCAGGCATTCAGAAAGACAGGCGAACCAGAAAGCTAAATGCCTGAGTGATCCCATGACTGCAATAATAGTAATAATTAACAATAAGTAATTGCCAATTGTATTGCCCTTTTCATTGCAGAGTTTGTGATGACTTGCTTGTAAATGTTTTGAGTTAATGATAACATTTCTATCGTCTGTTTAACACAGACATGTGCTTGAGTTAAGAGAAAAGACTTACAGAATTTATAACTAAAAGATCCTGCAGGATTTCAGACATCTAGTTCCCTAGAAATCTCATGCTGGGATTCAATCTCCATCTTTCAGGCAAGTCGTTGATCTCTCAGCAGCTCAGGCACCTGTCTGAGGCTTGCAGTGTGGATCATGCATGAGGAGAGGCTGGGTGCTCTTTCAGCAGCACATGTGCTTTGGTGAAGGCTCCATCTATGTGTCTGCAAAGGGAATAGTACTTAAACCACTGTAATCAACACAGTTAAAGTGTGCTATGTGTTGCAATGGTCTTGCATGCATGGATGGAAGGCTGTGCCAGGAAAAAAGCAGTTACTGAAGGAAGAAACATTCCCTAAATGCTGAGAATAATTATGTCCAGGTTGTCTGCTTTCTCACTTTCTAGTGATCTCGGTGTTACTTGTATTACATGTGGGATGTTTCCCCCAGATTTTTCCAGATTTTGAACTGCATTTTCATCTATGGTTAACATTTTATGAACATATTGGTCAGATGTTCTCTCTCTTCAGCAGTAATATATTCCATAATTGTGCAGTTTTATAGGAAGATTACATGGTCTTAAAGTAGAAGTAATCTCAAATTATATGAATTGATAGTGAAATAGGTAAATACTCCTACCACTTTAGCTTCTATGCTTTCCAGATTGTAGATTTCCAGGAATTATGAAAAAGACTAGAAAAATCGTCAGGTTTCATGTTTTAATGCACAAGGTTCATTGTGGCTTATTAAAAGAAAAAAAAATTACAAATCAGATTATAGAAGCTTTTTTGTGAAAATCTTTATATCTGAAGATGTAATATATATACAATATATATGACAAATGTGTGCATTTTATTTCTACTCATGATGCACATTGCATACCCATATAAAAATTAGAGGTTTTCCAGCCAAATACTGGCCTAACCAGTGTCTGCTGTATTTTTATGCTGTGATAACAGCAAAAAATGTGATGTTGACTGTTACTTAAACACTAAGACACTATGCAGTCTTGTAAGGAGTGATTCTCATAATTCTCCAGAACTCAAGTCACTGTGTTTTTTAGAGCTGATAAACACACAGTTTCTTAAAACTTCTTCCCAAAATTCAAAATAACGTAAAAGAAAATATTTGGTTAAACCTCTTTCCTATGGCGTTCAAACTACAGTGATCTCCCTAACTTCACTAGTCAGCTGGTTTTTGCAAACTTACAAAAACATGAACTTGAACACAGTAGACCAGACTTGGCATGGAGGTTTTAAAGCAGCAGGGAGCACTGAGTGGACATATGCACATCCGATGCTGACAGCACACTTCCTCTGAAAACAAGAAGATAACAAAGGAACAAGATGATATATTCATGTCACAGTTGTATAGTCCAAGGATTTTTAGTATCAGTTTACAATTTATCATGTTACAGTTTTTAAGTATTGTATTACATATTTATTGCTGTCATTGTAACTTCAGTTAACTCCTTACATTTTCCCTTCTTTCTCGAGATTGTAATGGAGTGAGGAGAACCAAGAGAAGAGCTCTTTATCATGCTATCGGAGGCAAAGCCCATATTTATTTTCCTTTACAAAATATAAAGCCACAGGTTTTATTTCATTATGCATACCTGTCAAAGGTATCTACAGAAATGTTCTTCTCTTGCATAACAGTATACATCTGGCTTGCTGTAGGCCGGACAGCAGAGCCTTTTCATGCACAGACTAACTCACTGTACAATGGGCACACACTAAAGCAAAGATTTCTTCCAGATGATTGCTATTGTTACAGGAATAAGCAGTTATTTCATAAGACACATAAGTATATGTGAGGCCAGAAAAAAGCCACACCACAGCTCTCTCTCCCCAGGTGAATCACTCGTCCATGATTTCAGACTATGTGGTGGGATATCAGTGTGTACAAGTACACTACACAGCTTTCAAAATCACCTGGGGAGCAAGATACATGGGGGATAGCTTTAAACTACAGGATTTGATGGTGCCTTTTGGCTTTCATTTATAATCTGATTAACCTCCTTCAAAAATAATTATTTACTCAATCGTGCCATCAGCACATATTCTGAATCTGCAGTTTATTAATTCCTTCATTTCTTCAGACAAAGGAGTTTTTTAGTTAAACAAAGGAACTCCATGATTTGCACTTTTCCCTTAAAGAAAGAAAAAAAATGATTCAAATTTTCCCATAATTAATTTAGTGTCCATTTTTCTCTGTTTGATGCTTTACAGGTCTCTCTAGGGAAAGCTGCCAACACTCCTGAATTGGCTGAATGTTCTCTGCCTTCTTCAGCACTGCAATAAAAAGCACAGAGCAGGAGGGTCAGAACCATTCCTAAACCCAGCCAAATATTGTGAAGAAGGCTGATCAGGTCATCTTAATGAACACAGGTCTTTCCTGAGTGTCACTGAGGTGCTTCTAGAAAAAAATTAAAAAAAAAAAGCACAGAGAATTTTTACATGTAGAAATGGCTAATATGGATTGAATAGAGATAGGGATAAAGATCACTTTCATGTTTGCTTGACATGTTTTTCCTCATCTAAGTAAAATACACTCTAAATGAGATTGTGTTTAAATCTTGTCTTGTCACCCAGCACCAGAGGACAGGCAGGCTCTTGGCAGAATGAGAACTGGCCACACGGTTGTGGTTAGAAACAGAGATTTGCTATTAAGTAAGAATTAACAATGTCTGCAGTTTATTATCTACATTTTTTGCACTTACTGTTTATGGTTGCATAGGATTTCTAGAATTCTCATTACAACGGCATTTTGGTCACCTGGCTAAACCCTCTGCAGATCAGGTTAAATTTTTACCCAGTCATAACTTAGACTGAGGCTCCATGTAAAAGAACACAAGTCACTCATTCAGTCCTGAGAGGAAGAAGATTGTGGAGATGTCACTGGCAACAGGAGTTACCATCCAACAGCTTTTCCATTCTAAGTCCCCCTTAGGTATTCTTGCTGCCTGATTAACAGACAGCTAATAGCAGCACCCTGTGCTGTTGAGCTTCCTTATTGCAGGACAGGTGTCATCATCCACTGGAATCTCAGCACCTGGGCAGGGGGTACATTTACACCCACTCACACATTAAGGACATTCACCCCATTGTTGGTTAGGGCATCCACACTGACAGAGGTCAGGAGCAGGGGGTACTGGTCACAAAGCTAAATTATATTGGTCTGTAGCTTAACACTCCAAAATCCTAAAGGATTATCTACAATGAAAAAGGAGAACCTGAACAGTTACAGCTCAGTAAGTCCAGTTTTATATTTTAACAGGTATTAGTACAATTTACAAACTGTTCTTTTAACATAAACAGGAAAAAGAAAGAAGAAAAAAAACAGATTAATGAAAAATAAGAAAAATGCAAACCATCTCCTTGTTGGGATAAGCAGAATGTATTTGTTCTGGAAAGAAAAAAAAAAAAAAAAATCATAGTATTTTGGTCCTACACTTCAGTAATATTTCAGTAATATTTCTATTTCAACCACAAGCTACTGGAGGTACAGTGCTGCCACCAAAAATAGGTTTAAAATGCTTTAAAGTGAAAATCTGAATGCAGGAGATATATCTGATATAATCACAGAATCACTCAGGTTGGAAAATACCTTAAATATCAATGAGTTCAATGACAGCCTAACCATACTGCCTTAACAACCCTCTGCTAAATCATGTCCCTGAGCACCACACATCCAAATGGTTTTTAAACACATCCAGGGATGGTGACTCAACCACCTCTCTGGGGAGTCTATTCCAGTGCTTAACAACCCTTTCTGTAAAGAAGTGTTTCTTGATATCCAACCTAAACTTACCGTAGTTCTTGGGCCATTTCCCCTCGTCAGCTGTCAACAGTAATAGACCAACCCTGCTCTCACTGTAAGTTCCTTTCAGGTATTTGAAGAGAGCAATAAGGTCTCCCCTCAGCTTCCTTTTCCCCAGACTGAACAGCCCCAGTTCCTTCAGTCTCTCCTCATAGGGTATGTTCTCCAAGTCCTTCACAAGCCTTGCTGCCCTTCTTTGGACCTGCTCCAGCACCTCCATGTCCTTTCTGTACTGAGCTGCCCCAAACTGAACACAGCACTTGAGGTGAGGCCTCACCAATGCCGAGTACAAGGGCAAGATGACTTCCCTAGTCCTGCTCACCACACCATTCCTGATACAAGCCAGGATGCCATTGGCCTTCTTGGCCACGTGGGCATACTGCTGGCTCATACTCAGCTGAACACACCTGAAAAGACAGGCTGTGGCTTTCTGATACAATGAAATTTCTTCTAGAGCTAGACAATGGTCTGAACAGGCCAACTGAGAATGTATATATAATGACATTTGCAAAGCTAGTAGTTATTAACGCAAGGAAATAAAAGGGGCATACATTCAACCTCAATGTTTTTTTACTTTACAAGCAATCCATATTGATAAAGCTGACACAGTGCAGATGCCTGGGACTTCACATGCTAAAAAAGGCTGTCTTGAACTAGTTGGCTGCTGCTGACACTTTATTTGAGAGCAGCATTTCTATGCCGAGTGCTGCAGTAACTTCTGGTGGAGGACAAATACTGTAAAGCAAATCATGTGGATTTGGCACTAGGGAGAAGTGCTGGAGACTTCAGTAAAACAAGTCTGTCCTGTGGGCAAGCTTGTCCGAGCATGCAGCTACCGCAGCTCTGACAGACCCAAAGGCAGTCGGAAGGCCGAACACTTGCATCTGCTCTGAGGAGCGACGTTCTTACGCCACTGCGCGCAGACGAACGCGCTGCCTGCGGCTCCGTAGCAGCAGAGCCAACCCCACTGCTACTGCGTCGTGAGGAGCACGCCGGGCCCATCGCGGCTCAGCAGCGTGCGTTTGGAGTAGGGATGCGCGACACCCGTGCGGTGGCCCTCCGCCGGTGTCACAGTGACCGCCGGGGCTGGGCCGGGTGCGAAGCGGCAGGGCGGGCGGACGCCACAGAGGGTGGCACTTCGCCGGCGCCGTCATGTGCTGCGGCGGAGGTGAGGGTCAGCGGGATGCAGGGAAAGACTCTTCGCCAGCAGCGTTTGGCACAGAACAGCCGCCCGGGGCAAGCAGTTTGTACAACACGCTCGGACCGGTTTCGGGCGGTGCCGTGTGGCACCGGGCGCGGACAGTGCCGGGTCCGTGCCCCTCGGACCGCCCGCGCCTCCGTCCCCGCCGTTCATACACGGGCGCGCGAGCGCGAGCCCTGGCGGCCAGGCCGCAGCACGCCGCGACGCCCCAGGACGGCGCGGTACGGCTCGCACTACAGCTCCCGGCACGCCCCAGGTCACCCCGCTCCCACCGCCCCCACCCGCCGCCCGCGCCGCTGTACGAAAAGTGACGCAGCTCTCACTTCCGCCGCGCGGGGTAGGCCGGGAATGCGAGTCGCGATTGGCCGGCGCCCGCCCCGCTTTGCAGCGTGCCGGGCAGCAGGAAGCGAGAACAGCGCGAGCGCGGTGAAGCGGAGGGCTCCTGGCGGTGAGTACCGGGAGGAACCTTCATCTCGTCCCGCGGGGCGCGCGCGGCGCCGGGCCCCGGCCCGTCCGCGATCCGAAAAAAGATCGATATTAATGCGCGCTTTGATGACGTAATAAGGACTAACGAGGCGGCGGCGCCGCCGGGCGCGCCGCTCGGCCCGACACTAGCTCGGGCCCCACCTTGGGCGCGCCCGCGGGACGCTCACGCGATCCGCGGCCGCCCGCGACGGTCCCGGGGCGCCCGTGCCCCGGGGGCCCTCGGCCCCGGCTAGGCCTTCCGGCTTCTCCCGCTCCGGGGACTAGGCGGGCGCTGATTGGCTCTCCCTTGAGAGGCGGGCCTTGCCGCCGCACTAATATTGGCGGAGAGTCGCGATGACTGGCAGCTGCTCCCCCCAATAGGAGGGCGTTGGATGTGGTCCCGGAGCGCGGGTTGCGGCCGGGGGGCGGTGTTGGCTGCTGCTGAGGGGCGGGCCGCGGCCTGCGGCGCATCCATGCTTGAGGCGGGGCGCGCGCTGCCCGGCGCCATTGTTGCTGCTGCTGAGGGTTTGGGCCGAGTGGGCTGAGGGCGGTGCGCCCGCCGCGCCTAAGTAACGGCTGCGCTGAGGCAGATCTGTAGGGGCAGATCTGCGCGTTGTCACACCCCGTTCCACAAGCAGTTTCACAAAGAAATACAGCGTGTGGCTGAGCTCCTCCGAAGAGCTAAGGATGAAAACAAGCGGTCGGGTTTCCAGCGCTGGAATGAGGGCCCATATGTAACCCCTGCGGTGCTTCTTTCCTTACTGCTCCAGAGCAGTGATAGTATAAAGGCCTTTTTTTTTTTCTTTTTTTTTTTTTTCCCCTACAATATTACTGAGCTTTGCACTGACACAGGGCTGTGTGTTAGTTACCCGTAAACTCTGCAGTCCTGTGAGCTCTCCTTTTTTTTTTTCCTTTTTTCTTTTTAAGTCTTCTGACAAAGACTGAAGCTCTGAAAAGAAAGTACTCAATCAGTTTGATAGGGAGCTGTTGATTATTATTTTGAGGTCAGTTTGAGGTGTTTCTTTTTCTTTTTTTTAACATACCCTTATGAATGTGCAATTTAATTGCAAATTACATTTGGGTGGATGGAAATTGTAGTATTTGAGAGCCAGAAGTTGGCTGGCTTTCCTTATAGGATACTGTTTTGTGTCCAGTTCTGGGCTCTGCTGGTCAAAAAAGAGATCTCATAGAAGGAGTTCAACGGAAGGCTGTGAAGATGATGTAGGGGCTTGAGCATCTCCTGTATGAGGAAAGGCTGAGTGACCTGGGTCTGTTCAGCCTGGGGAAGAGTAGGCTGAGAAGGGTTCTGATTAATGTTTGTAAATATCCACAGGGAGGTGGGACGGAAAGGGTTGAGGCCAGTCCCTTCTCCATGCTATGTAGCTGTAGGACAAAGAGTAATGGCCTAAAACTTGAACACAGAAAGTCTCATACTAACGTGCAAAAGAACTTATCTGCGGTAAGGATGATGAAGCTCTGAAACAGGCTGCCCAGAGAGGTTGTAGAGTCTCCTATGAAAGTACTCAAGACTTGGCTGGACACCTACTGATTTGACATACTGTAGGGTACTTGCTTCAGCAGTGGGACTGGACTCAATGATTTCTTGAGGTCCCTTCCAACCCCTGTGACACTGTGATGTTTTTAACTTCACATCATCTATCAATGTATGATTTCCAAAAAAAAAAGCAGGAAGAATTAAGCAGCGAAGTAAACAGCTGACAACTTCCCACGTGACACTTGATGTGGAAACCCAGATGACCGCTGCAGTCTGTCTGAAGCTCATTGGAATAGATGAATGAAGGCAGCAGCATCCATTCCTTTCCTCACTGCCTCCCACAGGCTGATCTCCTTTTCCCCTTTAAGAGTCTGATATGCATTTCAGAGCCTGCTCAGCAAAGCACCGGTAGCAGGCAGAACCGGACTTCTCTTAGCAATTGTTTTTATCCCTTTTCCTCTTCCACCTTCTCCAAGGGACAGTCTCTCTGAGATGCAAGGAAGAGCATATTTTGTGATTAAAATAGAAATTTGACATTTTCCTTTCTTTGATATGTTAGTAGTAAGAAAATAACTTT